TATTCCTATATTCCCGATAATTTTCAACTCGAAAAGTAAAGAAACAAAGCTTGCATCTGACATTTACCCAAAGCGAATTCATATATGAATTCGCCTTGACATTTTCCCATACGAAATATGAATTCGCTTTGATTCTAGCAGATGTAGGAATGACAAAAAAATAAAATAATCGATTAATTAATCACAAGCCGAAAAAAATAAATTTCATTTAATTGCAATTATTGAGAAATCATCGATCAAACGAATTTTTAAATGCTTTTTTTTTTTAAACTGAGTATTCACAAAAACACTTTTTCATCAAACATTTCTAATTAACCTTTAATAAAATAAAACCTGTATTTTTTATTATTTAACCAAGTTTGCAAAAACCAAAACTTTGATAAGCGTTTTGTTGTTAAGCGGTTAAATCTCTCGGTGGCTGTAAAAAGGCGCTCAGCAGGCACCAAGGTACCAACTAAATGACGGTATTTTTTCGAAAGTTCGTGAAGTTTTGAAGAAACAGTTTTCATTTAATCCCAAGCGTCAATGATATTCCGCTTTAGTTCTAGGATTTGACAATTTAGACAGAAACCCATTTCATCTTGTGGGTGACCCAAATCGTCATCTTGTCGCCTTTGTGTATAAGAGATTAATGAGGTGCCCAAAGATCGAACTCGTTTTCTACTGGTCCCAGTGACGACCTGCTACCCGTTTCCATAAGATCATCTGCGCACATTATTTAAGTTCGAAAGAACTTCAATACTGAAGCCAATGCTAACGGATCTTTGAAATTATTTTTTGGAACCTCGGGTCGAGTAAATTTCATGTAGCTGGCAAAAAAGAATATTCGACTAAGGGTCTGATTATGCATACTTCGCATAACTTCGCACAACCATTTGTACCAGAGCACTAAAAGTGTAACTTAAGAAAATGTGAAGCAAAATCTAAACTCAACAGATCGCTAAGTTTTTAAAAGTTCTGCTAATTTCTGGGTAATGGAATACATACAAAATCCATACAAAGTACATACGAAATTACAGTTTGAAGTTTATGCGAAGTTGTGCGAAGTTATGCGAAGTATGCATAATCAGACCATAAGGGATTTTAGATAACTACATAATTCATATTTCTTATTTTATATTTTCATATTTTTACGATTATTTTACAATTAATCGATTAATAACCGATTAATGAAACACAATACTACGATACAATTAAATCGTAAATCGGACAAAAATCGATTAATTTATTCAAAAGATTAATCGCGGCCATTCCTAAGCAGATGCAATTTTTGTATTTGCCGTAGATTCGTTGGTGCAGTTTGCATAAAACAAGCAGCTGCGAAGTGAATTTATTTATATTTTTAATTTTAAATTTCGCCGCAGGAATTATGAAAAATAAAAAACGACTGTGAAAGTACATTAATATACTATTTAGCGAACATTCGTGTATTTATTTGTGTAGTGTGAGCAGACAACGTGTAAATATCGATCACATTGCAATTCGATTGGATTTGTGGGAGAATAAAAAGTGCAAATGTGCTGAAATTTTATGATCTATACCATATTGACAAGATACAGTAAAGTTAAATAATGGAAAACTACCATATAAAATGCTTACAATTCCTTTAAACCTTATGGAATTGCTTGGAGGAAAAAAATTTTGCGCATGAAAAATCAATAAACGCAAAGGAGACAATACCAAAGACACGAAAGGAGACGTACGGTGCTGGTACGCGCTGATTGAGGGCAACGAAGCTGAATTATTGAAACGAATTAAAATCGTAGATGG